AATTTGTTAATATTTCAAATGTTTTGAACTGCGATTAAATAGATTTTCTCAAAACTTCCGTATGCGATTTTGAAAGGTGCCAGGTCTGCAGATTTTTAGATAGATTATCTAAACATTTCCTGCTTCGTAAAGCACTAAATACCGTTGTATCGCTGTTAAACATTACATGACTCTGCAAAAGCACAGTAAAAACGGTCCTCAGGCATTCCCAGATCCCGCAGAGTTTTTTGTATAACTACCCGTATCGAAGAAAAGGTGAGTCTTAGAGATTTACTGGATGAAATTGGAGGGTCGCAATTGACATGGTGGTAAAAAATCTTGTGATATTATCTCTCGTGTTAACGTTGTGTTACGGTTATGTCAGAGAGGAACAGATTAGGCACTTGAAAAACGGTATCCGTCATCACGATGATTTATTTGTTGTCGAAAAAATTAAAAAAATAAATATATAACAGTATCCACGCCAACCGACAAAGATACTACTTGGATTATTTGTAAACAACATTTCCATGTTGACAACGTGCCGATCCTGATTCTAATATTTATATTTTCCTATACGTGAATGCTAATGATTTTCAAAACAAAAATATTGATTTCAATCAGAATTTGTTGTTACTTCTCTCACGCATTTTTAATACAAACATGAATGACACATTTAATAATTATTGAAAATTAATCTATATCAAATATTTGTTTAATTTTTTGATTGATTCATTATTTAAGTAAATTTTAGTTATAATATTTTAATAATTATCAAAAAATATTATAATATGAAATATTAATTGTAATGAATCTGGAAAAATATGTTTTCCAAGGCGGAAAGACTTAGGTCGATATCCCTTTGGTTGCGTTATTATTATTATTATGAAACAGAATTTTATACAATCACAAAAATGTAAGTCCTCATACACGAACAAAAGAGAACACATTATTTTGAATAAACGTGGAGATTTTTTGGGAAGTATTAGATTCTACAGAACGTGCTAAAAAAGGTATTATGAAAGAGAACAAAATACAAAACAATATAACTTCTTTAATTTTTTTTGATGATATTAGCCAATAAAAAGATTTTTGTGTGAACCCTCTTGAAATCGCAGAGCATCAATATACTACTGAAGTTAACGTACAAGACGACAGCAAACCTACAAAATCATGATAATGGTAACTATCCACCGGGAAAGATTACCTACTTAATGTCAACCGCGATCTTAAATTTACTCATTGTTCATAATGATGAACAGATTCTGAATAAAATTACACGACATTAATAAAAAAATTCGTTAAATGTAGCGATAAATGCTCTTTATTATAAATCTAATGGAATTAATTTTAATAATTGAAGAAAATATATGAAATTTTATTTAATCGTAAGTGTAAGTTTATTTCTTTGAATAATTTAATTTGTGTAGAAGTGATAATACTAATACTTTTTAATGTATGTTACTTTAGCAAAATATTTCTGTTTTAGTAAAGTACATTTCGGTAAATAATGCTTAACTTTTATACGTTAAAAAATTTGGTGGATATTAATATGATATTAATGTACAAATATAAAAAATAAAGTTGTTTCTAATTTCTAATTTAGATTTTTAAATGAATGTTTTAATTAATTGACTTTTAGTGTAAATATGGAACAAGCTCATAAAATTGATACACGTTTAAAACGTGTACAGAGAAAAGGTTTAATTAAAGGAATTGGACATGTTTGAAACAAAAGGTTGTACGGTTAATTATGGAAAGGATGAAAAAAATAAATAAAAAGAAGGAAAGAGGCAACAATCGGTAATTGGTTGTCGATAATGAGCAAATTGGTAATTTCGAAAAGGATCTTGGGAACGGCCAATGCACATACTCGTGTTTTATATATATACATATAAATATATATAGATATATGTGCTCACGTTGCAGTCTTTTTGCTTTTAATTAACGTCTGCGCCATAAATTTAAGTAGTGATTTTTATTTGCTCGCTTTGTTTGTTGTTGTTGGTTGCATGTTGTTGTTGTTGCTGTTGTCGTAGATGGAAAGAATGGATAATGCGGTTTAAGTGCACGTATATAGACTTTATTTAGCAGTATACGGTGTTGAAATATTTAAAATGTGAGAGATATCGATATACATCCTCACGAACTGCACATAAAGTTGAAATTAAACCTGTTGGAAAGGCAATAATAAAGAAAGAAAGGATGAAAGAAAGAAACGCGAAGGTACGAAGAGACGCCTCCATTTGTAATATCATCATTATATTCCCCAGGTGTTTATCCTCTCCATCCTCGAGCCGCGCTAATGAATCCGTTTTGTTTACGGTTTCTCTAATCATTAACAAACCACTTCGCATTTCATATTCAAATTCCCGGCACACCGCAAATGTTTATTTTTATTCTCCTTCCTGTCCTTCTCTCTCTATCTTTCTTTAAGCCATCCACTCATTACCATGGGACGTGCTAATTAATCACATCTAATTTTAGACGCTCCATACAAACTGTGTGCGTTTCTTTCTTATTTTTATATTATTGCTTAAACAATCGATTCATGTCGAAGCATTTACAAATATATAAACGTCTCCTGCAGAGAAAAGAGCGAGTAATTAAAAAATGTCTTCTCTCGTAACATGTTTAGTTCTTAAAGTCATCTGTTATACGAGCAGCGTAAGAATCCCAACTTGTTGAAACGTGCAAGGACCAAGTTTATGTCCTTAGGAGAAACAACGACAGACTGAGCGATGGGAGCGAAAAAAGATCATTTGTATCGCAGATGTGCCGAAAATCTTCTGTAATTGTTCTAAAGCCTAATATTGAAAACCAAATGTTCCACACTTGACATCTAAATCTGTAACGCACATTTCCTGCAACATATGAACCCTCGTTGGTTGGATTAGACATACCGAACCATTCGCAAAACTTCAATCATTTATAATTAATTGCTTCGAATTCAATCAGATCGAACGATTCAATTATTGGCGTTTAATTTTATGGTTATACTTGATTGAAGTTGCAAAAATCTGGAACGTAATTCTAATTACTTCTTGTTAGGCGAATGCAAATCGAATTCCGAACGCGAATATGTCGCACCACGAGATATCGGCTAATTAGCCTATCGATAAATCAGCAAATCTGTTACAATGTCGTAGGAAATGTCAGGCCGTTGAAGGAATTCAAATGATTTCGACACGTGTAGTTTCTTTCTTTCAGAATACTGTTTCTTGCATTACAGCATTTACCGAAACGCTTCGCTCGGCTGCGACTTGTTTTATACATGATTCCGTAATTCTCTTCACAAAACGCAACGAGAATTAAAATGATTCCAACACGTGAATCTTTTCGTTAAACTGAATTACATAACAGTCGTTTCAAAAACAACAAATAAAGTAAATATAAGAATTCCAAAAAACAGAAAAAAAGTGAATTAGAGAAACACACTTAAAAATATTTCATAAGTTGTTCATTCATTCTTACTTACTTAATTATTTATAACTAATTAAATATTGCAAATTAAATCCTTCAAGATTCTTTGATAGATCTAAATTAAAATCATATTAGGAAAAGGGTATTTTTTTTATTAAAAAATGTTCAGGGTCGAAGGAACTACGGTCAATAATCATTTGTAACAGTTAATTATTGTTTATTTGGTTATGATTATATAAATACAATTTCTTATTTCTGTTCTATTTTTAAAATAATAATGTACCAAGAACTAGTCAAACTTAGCACTTTAATCTATTGTAAATTTTGAAAATCAGAGAATTCTCAAGAAAAAAAAAGGTAAGTATTTTTTCTTGAACAAATTTCTAATCGCCTTGACTTTACCTGCTATTTTTTGTACCTTTCTCCTTGAGACGTGTTCTGACTAGTCTCTAATAAATTTTTGAAATAATCGCGCCACTTTTGCTCATTAATGTTACAGATAAAAGAGTTTGTAAAGTTCAAAGTTGATAACAACTCGCTTAAGGAAAATAAGATCAGACTTCCATCTTATGATGAATAGTGGAATTACGTTATCCTATCAATACAGAATAATTTAATTTAATGAACTGTTAAAAAAATTTAAAACTAATTATTTTTTGAAAAATATAAAAAAAATAATTGATTTATTTTAATCAAAAGTACTTTTTTTAAATATTTATAAAAGAATTGAGCGTTTTTTTTCTTTATCAAGTATTACATATTAGTAATATACAAAAAATATCATTAGATAATTATTCTGTGCTAAATAAAGTTATTGTTTAAAATTTTTTGTTTCTGATTAAATTATTAAAAGAGTGCTCTAAATTAATGTATTTATACAAATAAATTGACTATTATATAAAGTCTTACGTATTGTGATTAGTATGAAAATGTTATTATTAAATTGATTAAAATGTCGTTTGTTTCTGATAAAGTTAATTGTATGTAGAAGAAAACGAACTGATTAACGAAATGTCTTAATTAAGATTCGAGACGTTTAATTTATGCTATTTAATTAACTAGAGCGTCACTTTTATTTTTCTGATTGGGAATGACATTTAAGTATTAAAATGAATTATTGGATTATATTAAATTGGTTTTCAACGGAAACCGAGAATTTTTAATTAGGTAAATTTAACAACATTGACGATGTTTGCTCGTCCTCTTGGACGTAGGCTAATTAATTCAACGTAAAAGAGCACATATCTGTTCACTTTAATAATGGGTGAAAATTGAACACGTGGGTTGGGGCAACGAAAAGACAGGATCCAGATTTCTTTATGAAAGAGATCTTTATGGTATATATCCCATTGATGTTTTAACACAACGCAGACTCTTCTTTTTCTTGGTAGCTGCACATGTGCCCCAAATAATGGCCATCTGGATTAACAAAAAAAAATGTAAAACACAATCTGAATCTTTTGTTGGTGAATAAGTTTTTTAATTGAAAATACAGTCAGGTACACATCAAGTAAAATATTATATAATATACATGTTTATGCATAATATAAATATAGATATTGATTAAGGGGGTGGGAATAATTAATATACATATTCGCTAATTGCTAAAATAAAATAAATGGTTGCTAAATTAGAGTATAAAGACTAGTTGCGTTATATACAAGTATTATATCAATTTAGACATGTCTGTTGTGTGTGTGTGCGCGTCGTCTATGAAAACAGGAAATATATTGTAATCGTGTGCGAAGCGAAAGATAAATTTTAATATTCACCTGCGGTTTTTCAAAGAGGATGTGGACTGTTTGCATGCGAAAACAGGCGTCGCGTTAAAAATAGAAAAGACGCGATTTTCATAATAAATATATATTAGCCGAAAGTCACATTAATCCGCGTTTAATGTAGTATCACATTCTTAAAACTAAAATTATTTTGTACAAAAATTACCTTTAATAATACATTTAAAAAATTGGCCCGATTCCTAACTAGGATTACCAAATAGAAAATGTTTCTGTCTGTGCGCATTTTTTTTGTTTGTTGCTGTTGTTATAGATGCAGCAGCTCTCGTTTCGCCTAGCTTAAACTAATTTCAAATAAAATAATATACATAAATAACAGTTTCTGAAAAATTAGAAACTTCATTAACTTATAAAATACTACAATGCTAAGTTTATGCTTAATATACGAACTCGTGCAATTGAAGCAGGGCAACGATGCCTTCCTCGTTGGTGACTTGTGTTAAGGGTGGTTCGAAGCGTTTCGCCAGTGGCGTGTTTTCCAGATTAATAATCCTGGGAAGTTTCAGGAACATCGATTGTGTTAGACTGTGCACACCTGTGTTTGCCAATGACAGATAGTGCAGCTTCCCCAGACTCTTGAAGCTAATCGGTGCTAAAGATACGAGTTCGTTGTCGCTCAAGATAAGTCTCTTCAGATTGGGTACACCCAGGAAGGTGAGTCCGTAGATCTCGGTTATCTGGTTGTTGGACAACACTAAGGACTCCACCGAGTGCGAGATTAGGAACGTCTGCAAACGGTCGAAGGTGATGCGGTTGTTCATTAGGACCAGCTTCTCCAGATTGCTGTTCGATTTGAAGGTGTACGGATCCAGGGTGGACAGATCGTTGTCGGAGAGGTCGAGGATCTTGAGCTGCTTGAGGCCTCTGAAGGCGTTCACGTTGATACGCGAGATTCTGTTGCGCTGGAGGTACAGCTTCTGTACGATACGGTAGCTCTTGTTGACGAAAACACTGTCCGGGAGGTCGGAGATCTGATTGTAGGCGGCGTTCAGGAACTCCACTTCCGCATTGCCCATCGGTATTTCCGTGAGATTCTCCGACATGACGATGACATCCCGGGTCGGCTCCTTGTACGGACTCAATCCGGTGTTCTCTATCGTGTAAACCCTAAAAAAAAATACCGAACGGAACGGGGAGTTAGTAATCGAAACGAAGCTACCGATCATCGGACGTGCAACGGTTGTTGTTGTCGTCTTTCCCGAAGGATCATGATATTCTGTTCATTTTCTGTTGGATACTCACTTTGGGGTTAGCAGGACGACGCACACTAATTGTAAGAGTAAAATGGCGGCCATCTCAACGGGGAACCGTATAATTTATTCCACTTTGCCGCATGGATTCAACACACACACTTCTAGCCAGAGGAAGAAGAAGATACCGATATTGGTCTTATCACAGTGGCCTTTGCGTCATTAATATATGTATTCATATATTGGATAATTAACGCGGGAGATTCGAAAGGCCGCTCTACCGCCGAGGAGTGCGAGAAGAAGAGAGGAGAGCAGTCCGTGACTCGGACGGACCACGCTCTAACGTAAATGCACAAATTGACGTTTGCTTAATTAATCTCTCCTCTCCTCATCAAATGACGCCGCAGTCGAAGCAGTTGGACTTCCGGTCAGATAATAGATTAATTCCTTTATTATTGTCGCTGGGATGGAACGAGACGGAGGAATGAGATGGACAGACTCGCAGCCGACTGAGAAACGCTAAAGGAATGATCGCTCCAGTTGTGCATACCTTCCTTTTCTTGCGGCGAGGATCCAATAGATGTTAGTGGTGGTGGTGCTTCTTCTTAGAGCATTTTTTGGGATTTCGCGACGACCAGATGGATGGATGCATGGGTGTCGTACAGAATGGGTCCATTCATTGAACACTTGCGGCCCAGCTGCGGGTCTCCGCCGGCTGGATCGGTGCCCGTGGGACTCTGACCGAACCCCAAACTCACGACACCCCTTCTTCAATTGTGCAATTCACAATCTCCTCTCACCTCTTGTTATTTTTGCTCCACTCAAACAACATTTTTTTTTGTCTCATTTTTGCACGCACATGCACAAAACATACGCATAGGTTAATTTATCGCATCCTTTCTAATTTACGTACATAATCATCAACGATTTCTATTCATACAATTATTTTAATTGGACGTTAATAATTACTTAAATAGAAGGTGTTAATTCTTCTTATAAACCTCTATAATTGGAAACCCACTATTAAATCATCACGTTCATATCTAAACATATTTACAAACATTTTAAACAATAATTATATTTTAAATCACAACGAAATGTTAATCTTGTTGGCTATGCTGTCGAATAATTTATACAACAAGAATCTAATTACATCTTCTATAACGAAATATCTATAACACATAAAATTTACCATTGTTCACATAATTTTAATGCATGCAATTATGGTTATTGTATTAAAATCTATATAATTACAAAAAATACAAGTATAATTTCAGCGAGAACGAAAAGAGCAATAACGTAACAAATAATACTAATTATTAATAGTTGGAAGGATCTATTTTTCCAATTAAGTATGGAATTATATAACAAAATTTATTTAATATTTGAAAATATTGAACTTGCTTTTTAACTATTTTTCGATGTTTGTTGAACCGATACACAAGATAAAAGTTATTTAATGCCAAATGTTAAACAATTTGACAAAAATAAATTCGAGATATTGATAATACATTACGAATAACAAAATGTTCATATAAAGTATTTACAGTTTTATTCAATGATAACATAATTTCTTTGACAATATTTTAATTATATATACAAATTATTAGTTTTTGTTAATTTAAATATTGTTTATAGACATTTTGGTTGGCAGATAATTTATTATGCCTAATAAATACATTTAGGTACTGTTTGGGCGCCAAAGTAAATGGTGGCAACACCGTGCGCCGGAAAAAAGGATTGCTTGGCTTCAAGAAGATAAGCACGGCAAAAAAAGAATTAATATGAGTTGAGAGTTAGTTGATATAAAGTTTAAATAGAATATAATTTTTAATGTTGAATATAAATATAGTCGAATATACTTTATTTACTGTACACCCACATAACTTAGTTCTTCGTCAAAACAAGTACTAAATTGATTTAAATAATAGAACTTTTGAAAATTAAAATATTAAAAAAATATTTTTGTTGTTTATTTTTACTTTAATTTATATAATCCTAATTAAAAAAAAACTTTAAATTGTTTATAAATGAATTGTAGAAAAACACCACATACAGTAAATATTTGTACTTGTTTTAGATATAAAGAAAAATATTAATTATTTATACAAATTAAGTAAAATAATTTATTATAATTGAATTTGCATTTATTGAATAGTCTACATCAAATCATTGATTAGAACTATAAATACGAATTATGTCTTAATAGCGTTATTTTCAAAACTTGCAATTCATTCAAAACTTTTATTATTATCTGTGGCATATTTTTTTACATTATCACAGTCGAAAAAGCAAACAGAAAACTAATAAAATTGCTTTGCTTTTATGTTTCTAACGTTTTAAATACTAATAACGTTTTTAAATACTAATAATTTCATGAATATTAATTATACATACCAAAAGTAATATATAACCAAAAATGCATATTTTACATACAAAAATGTATATCTTACGATATGCATCAATAATCAAAATATACAAATGACGCAACTGCAATGAAAAACAAGAAAAAAAATCATATGATTCGTGTAATTTTCCTGATACTCTTTCGTACTTTGGATTTAATTTTCGGTGTGATTATGAAAAAGAAAACTTGTTAAAAACACTTTTTTCATTTTTTCCATACCGATATTAAATTAAATTTTGTGTATATTAGTTTTATCTCTTCGAAAAATATTGTTATTGAAAATATTGTTGCAAATGGCTATGGACCATAGGTCTTTCTGACCATATGCGTATTATTAATATGATTTACAAATACGAATTCATACGTGTCAATTGTGGACTTTGGCGCCAAATTTGGTGCCAACTTAATGTACGTAACTTGCAATTACATACGATGATTGTAAACTGTAAACATTATCTCTTCTCGATGATTGAATCATATTTCTTAGCAAATACAATTTTAATCAATTTTGCAATAATATGTTTCAATGATTTCACAACACATCCGTTTATTAACGATCGTCGTGTCCATCCGATTATAACAACTGATTTCTCATCGTTTTGTAAATATTATTATTTTTATATTTTGTACAAACAATAACGCAATATTTTTATTTTTAGTTTAATGCTCTATGCGTTTCAACATATGATTATAATTGCTTGTGTTTCATTCCTTATTACATTTGAATTATTTATATTTTTATTTATAGTTTTAATGCAATAATTATGTGATTTAAAGTATTTTGAAGATGAAATAATCTCTACAAATGTACAGCAATAACTCGCATAGTACGGGTAATCGTTTTAGCACTCTTTGAAACCATCGAACTAATCGAGGACTTTAAAACAAGTTAGTAAAAAAAAATAAAAGTTGACATAAATACAAAAAATTGTAATAAATGTAATAAATTAATTTTAGCATATTAATTGAAAATTGTAATTAAAATGTATGTAAAGTAAAAAACTATTGCTATGAATTACTAATTACATATCAGTTTATTATAAAATAATTGTAGCAATATTTATTATATTTACTTTATTTGTAAGTTATATATATTTAATACGTTTGATAATAAAAAATATGTAATTTTATAATATTGATTGATCCAAGTACATTACCTTGGAGTACTCCAGCTGCAAATATCTTGAGATGTTGAAAAAATAAAACTATTTTAAATATGCTTTTATAACTTAGTAGAATGCGTTCTGTAAATACATAATAATATTATTTCTATGCGTATACCTTCTTTAGGCTCATGGATTTCATACTCGGGTGTGTTTAATGAATATAACTGTCCTTATCTTTTATTTCTACATTGAAGTCTAGATGGAGTGGAATTTAACATCCAAGTGCATTTTCCTTATAGAAAGCCTAAAGAATTTACAGCCGATGTGAAGCCGATGGGTATGGGTAGGTACGTTTCTGCATTCTTCATTCCTAATATATAATAGCGTAATTACAATAAGATTATGTGCTAAAACGTAATATTAAGATCGCTGTAATAAATCAAATTATGCCGATGCAATCTGCAACGTTAGATAGCATTATGTAAAACGGTCGAGTGTATAATTAAAGCAGTTCTCGACATTTTTATGTTGTCGTGTGATTGCATTTTTTTTGTTGTCGTCGTTGTTCGTTATTTAGTCGAGCAGCTCGCATTCTTGTTTTGCGATCGGAATCAAGTGATTAATGTGCAGTCGGAGTCGGGGCACGCGAATGCGTTTTGTCGGGACGTTGGGATGTCGGGTGTCGGGGCGTTGGTCGACGGACGTCCCGACGTCCGTCGCGTTTTATTAAATGCGACGCTTAATCCTAGGGGCGGAAGCTGCAGTTCTCATTGTCGGAGGCCAAGATAAACCCTGGTTTAATGAACACCAGACACGTGTTCCGATTGCACACTTTCTGTACACCCTCCTTCCTCACTCCGCTGCAAACGAGACCGACACAAATGGAATGGGTCACATGCATCCAACTGCCCGTGGATGTAAACACCCCCCTCCGGGTCGATGGTTCCGCTCGAGAGCCTCTTCGAATGCAAATTAAAATATCCCAAATTGTTTGCAAATTTGTTCATAAACCACTCCCTTGCATTGTTACCGAGGAGACGGATACTCGTAACTCTTCATGAAAACGCTTTTCTCCTCGTGCTCGACAACTACACATACTTTCGCCCTTTATACTCTTTGCTTGCAGTATAATTATAGACATCAATGTAATCTGAGAGTGAGCGATATGCCTTAATTGTCATTTAAATACATAATTAACAATAGGCTAACATTCTATGAAGTAAAATATAAATACTGTCATTGTTCACTTAACGTACATAATGAGTAGACAAATTACCATATGCAAACTTACGTTAATAAGGATTTCTATAAAAATGCATTTTCGATATTGTTGTCATAAACGCGTGTCTCTTTGTTCGAACTAACATACTCAACATTCATACGAACGTACATTTTTCCATTTTATCATGAGATTAGTTTTTTTTCTTCCTAAAACTATTCATTACTGATAATTTGACAAAATTGGGTTTGTACGTTTTTTTTAATGATCTTATATACAGTAAGATATATAGGGAGTGTATAATAGATATCGCACAAAAAAAATCGAAATTTTCATAAATTCTTACATATAACAAATAACTTTATATAATACATTATAGAAACCGCAAGAATTATAGCACAAAAACAGATTCTACTGTATAATAAATTAATCATTATTTTATCATAATTATGCACTATTAAAAGACTCACTATCAATAAAAGTTAAGTAAAGTCTGTCAAAGATAGTACTTGGATAGGCTCTTTATAAGTACTGAAACAGACCTCAATACTTGTTAGTACTTTAATATAATCTTTATATTGTTAACATAAATGATTTGTTTTGCAATTGGAAATACCGAGTGAATACAAACCTACATTTAAGTAATACTTGTCAATTCTGTATAGGTTATTTTTTATGTTGTAAAGAAAACAAAAATTGTATAGCAGAAATACCATGAAATAAGGAAAACTATAGGCAACTAAATATTAATGTGTTTCAAAAGAAATTCATATAAAAAATTATTATTAA